AGGAAACCGCCGCCTGCCTCGCCAGCCCTGGGCGGCGAGGGACGCGCGAAGCAGGAGCGCCATCTGCTTGGGCATGCCCCAGAGGAGCCCACGGGCCACATCTTGGCCCCGGCTCAGCCCCGAGGGCTGCCAGGCTTTCCCCTCGCCATGGAGGGGGGGCCCAGGGAAGCACCGCGAGGGGCTCTGCAAATGCAACGGGGATCTGTAACCCTCTGTTAGCTCAGCCTGGAGATCAAAAGCGTCCTCGGCGTTTGTGTTCTGCAGAGAGAAATCCCCTCCCCGACTCCGAGAGCAGCTTCCTCTTCTGGGATTTAAATGAAGAGCTTCTCCTCGCAGCGGGAGTGCAGGTTGTGCCTTTTGGAAAGGCTCCAGCCCTGCTTGGTTTGGGCTCAGTCGCACCACGGAAGGCGAGAGGAGCTTGAGCCACTGCAGCCCTCCCAGGTTCTACCTGTTCCTCACCTGCAGAAACCTCTTCCTCTGCAAACTCCTCGAATGCAGCCAGAAAAATAAACCACCAGATTGCAGGGACCTGTGCTGGTGTTGGGTTTACAGTTGGACTTGTTGCTCTTAAAGGTCTTTTCCAACCCAAATAGTTCTGTGGTGCTCTCTGTGCTGGCTTGGTCCACAAGCTGCCTGGGGCAGTGGTGGGGCTGCGGTTCCTCCTGCTGGGGTGAGGAAGCCAGCCCAGGTCTCTGCAGCTCAGAGGGCTGTAGGATGCTTTCACAGGCACAGCTTAACAGCTGGATGTGATCTTAAAGGTCTTTTCCAACCTAAATGATTCTATGATTCTCTTCTACTGACACAATTCCCCAAAACCAGGCTGGCAGGAGCCCCTGGAGGAGCCAAGGCCAGCGCTGAGGTTCAGGAGACAGCTCTTAGCCCCTCCAAGACACACTGAGAGCTCAGAGGCCACAATTTATTTTGCTCACACCTCTCCTCAGTGCTGTGTCTGGGCAGTCGCTGCACTTGCGGCCAGTTCAACACATCTCCTGAACTTCCTTAATCCTTGCATCTGCAAAACAGTAACATCCACCCTGGCCCTGCCAGCTGCTGGCCCCAGGGACTGGGAGAGAGAAGGGTGCTGCTCTTTTGAAAAAAGAAAACTTTAATTTGTTTTTATTTCAACTCAGTATTTACATCCAGGCCTAGCTCAGCCCCTGACAGGTGCTGGCTGGTTTCTGTGGAAGGAGGGCTTTGCTCCAAGTGCTGAGATGTGCCAAGGAAGCTTCCTGGAGAGCAGAGGGTGATGAAGAGGTGGGAAAAGTGGTGTTGGAGCCAGGCTGGGTGCTTGCTCCAGCATCAGGAACTGGTCACAGCTCCAGATGCTGCGCCCAGGACAGCTCTGATGGGGCTTGATTGCTTCTGTGTGTATGCTGCCCACGTGTCCCACACTGAGAGGAGGCTGTTGGACCATTCCTAGAGGGAAAGGGCAGGAAGTGCCTCTCCAGAAACATTTTGCAATCCCAGAGCCTGCTGAAATCTCTGTGGTTCCACCTCTACTGCAGAAGCCTGGCAGGTCTTGTACATCTTAGCCAGGAAAAAATAAATACTAGGAGACACAATCTACCATCTCCTCCAGACGGAGTGGTCAGTGCCCAAGGCAAGGAGCAGGGAAGTCACTGCTCAGAGCCCAGGAAAACAGCAGAGCCTCCAGGAGAAGGCACCAGCCAAAGATCTTTGACAACCCTCCATGGAGAGCAGAGCCCTTGGAACAGGGTCTCTCTGGTAGCCCAACACTGCTGGCATCAGCCCTGAGCACCGGGCAGTGCCCACGCCGGCCGCTGGTCTCGGACGCCTTCCCCGGCTGTGTCCCGTGGCTCCTGAGTGCCCTGTGGAGCAGGGGCTGGGGCTGCTGCCAGCTCTCCCCACCTGGGGGGCTCAGGGGGGGTTCAGCACCCGTTCTCAGACGCCTCACGTGTGACAGGGTCCTGCTGGATGGCTGCTGTGGCCGTGCTGAGGGCTCCCTCCAGGCCCTGCCGCTCTGCTAACTAGGGGAGCAAAGAGAGAGACACAACAGGGTCCCCCCAGGGGGGTTCAGGAGGTGCTGCCTGGCTCAGGGCAGCCCCAGGATCAGCTGGGGTGATACAGGTAGGAGGCAGAGGGCAAAGCAGAGAGGGACATGGATGAGATGGGGAAAGGCTGTTTATGAAGGAGTTTTCTGGGGTGCATTAAGAGTGTGACCAGCAGGTCGAGGGAGGGTCTCCTCCCACTGTACTCTATCCTGGTGAGGCCACCTCTGGAGTGTTTGGTCCTGTGCTGGGGGCCCCAGTTCAAGCGCAGCAAGGAGCTACTGGAGAGAGTCCAGCAGAGGCTACAAAGCTGCTGAGGGGCCTGGAGCATCTCTGTGCCAGGACAGGCTGAGAGCCCTGGGGCTGTTCAGCTGGAGGAGAGAAGCCTCAGAGGGGATCTGATCAATGCTGAGCAAGAGCTAAAGGGCCCCTGGGGGGCAAGAGGCTGGGGCCAGACTCTGGTCAGTGGTGCCCAGGGACAGGACAAGGGGCAACGGGCACCAACTGGAACCCAGGAGGTGCCACCTGAGCAGGAGGAGAAACTTCTTTGGGGTGAGGGTGCAGAGCCTGGAGAAGCTGCCCAGAGAGGCTGTGGAGTCTCCTGCTCTGGAGAGATTCCAAACTCTCCTGGATATGATCCTGGGCACCCTGCTGTGGGTGACCTGCTGGAGCAGGGGGGTTGGATCTCCAGAGGTCCTTTCCAACCCCCACCAGTCTGATTCTGCAATCCAAGGAGCACATCCCTGCTCTCCTCTGTACACAGGGCATCTGGGAACTAGGAGCAAGCACCCTGGGGAAGAGGTGCTGCAGCAGAGCGAGGGGGTAAGCACTGGAGCCAGGAGGGGGATGAGGTGAGGGAGGGGAAGGCAGCAGGAGCTGTGTGGTACCTGCACTGTGAGGGGGGTGCCCTTGGAGGTGGCCAGCAATGCCACCTGCTGATGACAGAGGGATGCGATGCCCGATTCTTCAGATGGGACTGCCCCAGAAGTGACTATGGTAACCTAGGAAAAGTCAAGATAAAATTAACTATCCTGTGTCAGAAGATGATGCAGTTCCCTTCTAGCAGGTGGCTTCTCCAGAGGGAAAAGGGACAGTCCAGGTTTTGTCCCTACTGGCTGTGTCTGGGTGCCGTTGGGCACAGCCAGGTTGTCACTGCCCACTGGCTCCACGGGGAGGGCACTGCTCTGTGTCACCACGCCCATCCTGCTGCCCAGGGCCTGCAGGTCTTCCCCAGACAAACCCACCTGGGTGGGACAACAGTGGATGCTCCCATCAGGACAGTTCCTTGGGAAGCCTTACACACCTCCCGACTTCAGCAACACACTGGTCTCACCAAGGAGGAAACACTTTCCTTGCTACACAGGACCTAGGGTCCATAGAACACCACGGGCTCCATGGAGAACTCACAGGCCCCAGGTCACCATCCTCCCCCACTCCTACCACACCTCCCCTTCCCATTTAGCATCTCCTCTCCAGGGTTTGTCAGGACAGCCTGTCCATCCTGGAGCAGCTCAGAGCAAGAGGAAACAAGCGTTTCCCGTGGCAGCTGCTTCCTCTGCCCCATGCCACAGAAGGGAGTTTTTCCCAGTCAGCACACAGGCAGCTGGTGGAGGGAAGTACAAGAAAAGCACTGCCCTGTACCAACAAGGACAAAACCAGCTCCAGATCCTGCCTGTGTCAGCAGAGATGAGGGTTGCCAGGCACTGCATGTGAGCCTGGGCAAACGCCTGCAAGACTCTGGCCAGAAAACATGGCAAGTCAGGGACCTGAGGCCTCTTCTTTACCCTCCACCCACCCCTCCAGCAGTGGATAAGGCTGTAAGGAGTGGAGCCCTCATGACACAGAGCCTGTGAAGCCCCAGGGTCTCTCTCATGCTGAAAAAAAAGCCTTAAAGAGAACACCAAGGCTGTGTAGAGGCAGAGTCTCAGTTAACTGCTGTCTCCCACCTGCTGGAGGTTGTCAGTGTCCATACCTGCTCTGTCCCATCCTGAGAGATAAGTGAGACTGGTGTAGGTATAACCTCTTCCTCTTCCTCCATCTCTGACAGGAAAGCAATGTGTTGGCTCTTCTGGGGTGAGCCTCTGTCAGCAGCAGCAGCTGAGTCAGGAAAGGGGAAGAGCAAAAGGGATGAGAAAAGCACTAGAGTGTGAATACACGTGGCTGACCCTGAGTCTCCTTCTCTGGAGATTCCAAACCCTCCTGGCTGTGACCCTGGGCACCCTGCTGTGGGTGACCTGCTGGAGCAGGGGGTTGGATGAGATGATCTCCAGAGGTCCCTCCCAACCCCACCACGCTGGGACTGTGGGATTCTGTGACCTGCCTGTTGCCTGTTCAGGCCAGGACTGATGAGGACAAGCCCCTGATGACAACAGCCCAGCACTGCCCTGGGAAGAAGGTCCCTCCCCCTGTACTACAGATGGAGCAGGAGCCTGTACGGGGAATCCTCTCCTCTCCTCTCCCCACAGATCTGACTTTGCTGGGGGAGGCAGGAGGCCACAGCACCGACGTGGGGCCGAGAGAGGGGAGCTGCTGCTGCATCTCTCTCCACCCTCCCTCGTTGTGACCCCTCCCCGCAGCGCCAGGGGGCGGGTTGCTCACCCTCCAGCCGCGGCTGCTCG